CCTTAAAGACATACCTTCATGGTACAGACACATATTCATGGCCACAGACACTTTGGGTGTCCTGCTCTCATGTGGACTCAAACACAGGTCACAGTGTCTTTGACTCCAGTTCACTCTGGAGTTCTGGCCTCCCCAGTACAGCAGTGCAGAAACAGCTGTGATGCCCCAGCCATCTGCCAACCCAGGCACATTGCCATTGCTGTTATCAGAATGTTCCCAGACACAGCAGCATCAGATGATAAGCTGTACAGCACTACAGCAAGCAGCAAAAGCAAAAAGCAACCACTAACAAGCACTAGACTCCAACATTCAGTAAGTCAAGCAAGCCCCGTGGCAGCACAGGAACCTGCCAACTAATAGCTGAACAGCAATAACAGATACAAATTCAACCTGGCACATCCCAGTCAAACCTGTCATTATCTCAAACCCCTCAAGCACCATGTTGGGCACCAAAAAGGACAGTCATGGTTTAACTCCAGCCGCAACTAAGTACCACATAGCTGCTCACTCGCACACACTGCATCCCCAGTGGGATGGGGACAAGACTCAGGAAAAAAAAAAACACATAAAACTCACGGAATAAGAGCAGCTTCATTATTGGAAAAAAATTATTAATAATAAAAATAATAGTAATAATAATAGACATAAATAAAACCAAAGGGAAAAAAAGAAATTATGCACAATACAACTGCTCACCACCTGCCAACTGATACCCAGCCTGACCCGAGCAGTGATCTGGGCCTTTAGGGTAACTGCCCCCAGTTTATATACTGGGCATGACATGCTGTGGTATGGAATACCTCTTTGGCTAGTTTGGGTCAGATGTCCTGTCTCTGCTTCCTCCTGGCTTCCCGTGCCCCTCCTCACTGGTACAGCATGAAACTGAAAAGTCCTTGATTTAGAGTAAACACTACTGAGCAACAACTAAAACATCGGTATATTATCACTGTTGTTCTCATACTAAATCCAAAACACAGCACCATATCAAGAAAAAAAACAAACTCTCTATTCCAGCTGAAACCTGGACAGCAGCTTAAGGCCTCTCAGATTAATATCCAAGTTTAGCTGACAGAATGAAGAATCCTTCCTCATCCTTTCTGCATTAAGGATGAGATTCAACTTGAAAATTAAGACACCTACATCTGGGGCCTGATCCAATTGCCCAATGCAGGGATCTGGCATACTCTGAAATGCTGCAAGGTATCTCATCTGGACTACAGCTAACACTCCAGAAGCTCATGGGTTTCACATGGAATTACAGAATCATAGAATAATATATTCATAGAAACATAGAATCAAAGAATGGTTTAGGTTGGAAGAGACCTTAAAGATCATCTAGTTCCAACCCTCTGCCACAGGCAGGGACACCTTCCACTAGAGCAGGTTGCTCACATAGATTACATGTGGATGTCTCAGATATCCTAGGATATATTGGATGGCAATAGATGGAGACGCCAAATTGGACCCTGGATCTTCACCATCTGTAATAGCAACTCAGCATTTTCCTCATAGGCATATACATAACCACACATAAACATGATTAAACATAATTAATTTGTGAGACACATCCTATCTGTAGCTTATTTGATGTTCTGTAGATCACAAGAAATACACCTTCACTGCTCATGTTACAGCTTGTGATATTATTTCCTCATACTTACAAGCATACAACAGGCTGGATCCCATCCTGGTGGAGATTCCATACTGACGTTAATAGGATCAGACGCATGGCCTGTGCAAAGATCAAATATAAGCCTCTTACCTCAGCTTCTAGAGGCAAAATAGCATTAGGCACTTCAGAAATGCAGATAAATTCTATACTGATACAATTATGTCAAGAAAACAACAGATAAAGAGATAATTTTGTTGCCTGTTGTTTTGAATTTGTAGGAGATGTTGCACAGATCATCAGAAAACATTAACAATTGGTCACATCTAAAATATGTGCTTATAATTTTTTCAGAATCTACCTAAATACGAGAACAAAAGGCTTTTCTTCCTCAAAACAAACAGAAAATGCTATCTAGTGTTGGCTCTTTGCTACTGCACTCTCACGTAACTGAATTAAGCAAAATGAGCTGTGAAGCATCAAAGTGCAGAGGGCAGCGTGCCCAGCAGCACTGCACACTCAGGAGTCAGGAGCCTTGTCCTGTTTCAAAGTTTATTCTGAATTTCAAAGATGATATAAAGCTCACACCTGCTGGATTCCTACCCTGCAGAGGAAAACAGGAAAGAGGAAGAAAGGCTGGGAAGAGAATATGTAGCATAAAAGGTTTAACTAGGCACCAGCACTGGCTTAGCTCTACTGTCTCCTTTGGCTTAATGCAGCACAGGATCCTCTCTAGGCAGAAAATATATATAATTTTAATACATATATGTTAAAGATTATATGTGTGTGCTGTAACACTGAATTATGTAAACTGCTAATATTAAAAAAATTAATATTGAACAATAAGCATATGGATTTAGGGCTCAAGGGGAGGAATGGCAATGGACTGAAGATCCTCAGGGTTTCAGAGCAATCCTTACTATTTATTGTATGTGTTAGTTAAAAAAAAATCCCATACTCTTACAAGTATTTGTGGCTCCCATTCTGATGGCTGGGTTAATTAAAGGTCAGATCCTGCCTCCACAGCCACTCTTGCAGGAGAACTATACAACACTGCTCTTCCACCAGCAGTTCTATCCATCAGCCAGGCGCTGTGACATCTCAGCACGTACAGAAACATCTTCTTTAAATTGCCATCAGCCTTGCCTGAGACGGATCAAAACATCTCAGCTTCCCCGTGCGATGTGTCTCAGAAATGTCACTTTCATCCTCTGCAGGTGACGCCACAACTAACAGTTTTCATGTCCTTCCAAGTAGGAGGGAGCCGAGGGAGGGAAGGGGGAGAGGAGCTGGCAGCAGGCATTACCATGATTGCTCATATGTTGATTTTGCTTTCCAAGGCCAAATTTGCCATTGCTGACTGTATGAGACACATCATATGCCTCTGCTTGTGGCACCCAGAGCTGGCACTGCTCCGTCTGTCTTGGAACAGAGATCATCAGCTCAAGCTTTGGCCATAACATTTTTTCTATATGTTTTTAATGTGCCCCATGGAAGCATATCGATTTTTAGTTGGACCACTGCAAGTAATGCCTCAGAAACACTTGCCTTTTGAAATCCACAGTTTTAATCCTGATGTAAAGGCAGAATGAACTGTGCACACCAGACATTGGTCATGTTACTACTGTCAGACAGGAAAATTAGTTCATATTTGGAAAACAATACAAGATCTGGAAAATTATTATCAGACTAATGTGCTCAATTAATCAAAAAGCATTCTCATAAGAGTCTAATTCAAGTCTTGTGTAAGCTCACTATGCCAGACCTGTCCTGTTTTCAGCACTACACAGCCCTCAATCAGGCAGAATGCTGCTGACATCCCTGAAAGTTCTGTCTGGGCCAATCCCTGTGCTCATAGAGGAAACCTAAAACTTCTCCCTTCCCTGCACCCTTCCAAGGCTGGTCACAGGGTCTGCAAGCACAGGACACCCTTTCTGCCCAGGCTCCCCGCTGTCATCAGAGATGCTGATCCTGCTGATGGGGCTGCACACTACACTGTTATTTTTCCTACACGCTATCTCCAAAGGTTCCCAAAAATCAATTCACAAGATAGGAACTAATTCCCCCATAACTCACACAGTAGAGAACAAGCCATCACATCTCAGTAGTGCAGTGGCACAGCACTGCCATTTGCCAAGTGACAGAAGCGGAGGCTATCGGAGAGCCCCAGAGCATCACATCACTTCGGTCATTCAGCAGCTTTCACACTTATTCTCACCAGTCAGAGATTTTAGGTGAACAAAAATATGCTGAGAAGGGCAAAGATGAGATCTCTAGGTCCAGGTCCCCTCTCCTATCCAACAAATGGATAGGGGAAAAACAACCGGTTGATCCCAGCAGACAAAATGCCCCATTCGGCAACTGCAGAGGATGAATCTTCAATATTTCTGGAGAAGGGTTTGGGAAAAGTCCCTGTCCAACAGGAGAGGACACAGAACCAAGTGGCAGTAGCTTGCCAAGGCACATGACAGCCAGTCTTGGCGTGTCAGCAACAAGTGGTGTCCAACATCTCAGTTCTTTGCCAGCACTTGGTATCTGTGAGCACTGGGCACTGACACCACACCACGTACAGCAAGCAAGGACAACCTACAGACCAGGCTGCCATTGTAGTACTGGCACAGGAGAATAAAGGAGCATCTCCTTTCATTTGTGCCTGAAAGAAGGAAGATTTAACTGGGACAACCAGTTTATTCCTGTGTCTGACCAGTAAAGATGCAGTCACAAGTTCTTATAATGTGATTTCACTGCTAATTGTTCCAGCTCCTGGGGTCATGAGGATATGGACAAATGTCAGCTACCACTGCAGAAACGAGCTCCAAGACTTGTCCCTGAGGGGAGCAATCTTTTAAAATGTAACTCCAAGAGGCTGGAAAACCAAAGGCAAATAAACGTTGAGATGCAGACCATAGTACTCATCCTCTTTTTTTCATCTCGGTCTCCGAAGGTGAGATCCATGACAGTTTAACAACAGGGGTTGGCTCTACAAGACAAGAAGCCCTGGGGGCTGTGAAGGCTGCCTGGGAAAGAACATTAGAAACCTTCATGCTGAGGCCCCATTTTATGGCTCTGGTTGAAGGCATGCTCCTGCGTCAGATAAAAAGACGTATCATACCAAATGGTTATTATCTAATAAAAATACATACAATAATCATCCCTGAATGAAGAACCAGAAGTGTGTAGCAACACTTCAAAGGGTCTTTCACTGCAACTGCAATGTTCCAGGCTTTTAGAAGTTGAAGCTAAGGCAACAAACTGTCTTGCCACTCAGGAGGGATGTGATCTCCCACTGAGATACAAGGGTGAATATGGGAAACATCCTGAGCAGTAATAATGCAGGCTTCAAACCCTGGATGCAGGCATCACTTCAATATATGTGAACTGATCCCCTCACCTGTGATTCTGAGCCTTTTTAGTACAGGAAAGCATTACTGAAGAAGTCTTTCTGCAGGCTTGCACGTTTTCTAAGAGGAAAGATAGTGAAAACAAACGTCTGAATTACAAGGTCTTTCAGGTTTTTTTGTTTTCACTAAAAGCATCTGCCAGAAGAAAGATTAACAATACATGGAAATGTGGACTAACCTGAACACATCAGGCTGCAGAGGCATGATGAGCCACAAGTGCTCAAGGGGGCAAAAGTGCCATGCTACGTGGCACGTGTACAGCCAAGACATGTTCCTCCTCTTCCAGCCTCTCCCCATTCCTGACAGCTCCTGGCCAGCCCCTCCCCTGGCTGGCCACCCCAGCACCTGCTCCCAGTGCCCAGCGTTGTTCCCCAGATCACAGTCTCATTTCCTAATGGTCTTTGCCAGCCCGTGCTTCTTTCTCCATGACCCAGAAACTCTTCAGCTCCAGGCCCTTCTCCCAGTCTCCCCCCATCAGTGTGGTCCCAGTGTCTGCAGGGTCAGTGCAGCACATGGACACCCATTCTGGTCCCCAGGGACAGAGATGTTTTGCCAATAAAAAGCATCTGGGGCATGCCCAGTGTGGGCAAGCACTGCTTTTTTTAATTCCACTGAGTTTTTCCTGAGCCTGTACCATGCACAGGGACTGCTGCTGGGACAGATAGAGGCTTTACCTGTTCAATGCAGCTCCAATACTCCACCTACACCAGGTCCTCTCCAGCCTAGATAGGTCAGTTAAATATATCACGCCCTTAATCCGTGTAGTTATGGTGGCAATCATGGGTCAAAGTGACATGACAAATTGCTTCTGAATTGCTCACCAACAAGCTGAAACTCTCCTGCCAATAACCTCTAGTCCTTTCCTTGCTTTTGTGCTTTTCCTCCCTTCGTTTGCTGTTCTCCTCCTCCTCTTTCACTCCAGAGAAATCCCCAAGGTCTGGCAGCAAACCTGCTGTTCCTGAGAGCTTTGCTCTCAGCTGCTGAGCTTTACTTTTCCTGCATTCCTGCCACCAGGGAAATTCCCGTTTGGGTAAAACTGAAAGGCTGATGCTGACATTATTGACACATGAAATATTTTACAGGAACAACCTCAAGTGCCTGTGGGAAGCGCCCTGAGCTCAACAGCAAATGCTCTATTCTGAGACATGTTTTCAAACTGTTTAAATCATCCCTTGATCACAAGGTTAAAAACCCAACCCTAAAACACCTTTCCTCAGAGGTAACACAGCCTGAAGGTGGTTCGTATCACCTTGAGACCAAAGTGCTGTTCCCAGTCCCCTTCACTCTGGAGGATTAAGGTCATCTTTACCTGGGCTTTGGCCACCTCACTCACAGCATTTCAAAGAACAAGTGGAGAAAGAAGGCTTTGGGTCTGAAACAGCTATTTCTCCTACCAGGGTGACACTGCACAATGGTGCTGAGCAACCTGACACCTCAGTTTCACAAGTCACTTGCTTTCTGCTGATTTCAGAGCATTTTAGCACCCTTCCCCCTTAGGAAGCCCTTTCTTCTGACTGTTTTTTGGCTATGTAACTAATTTTTTAAGCTTGTCACTGATGCACTGCATTGGGGAAGAACTGAAAAATTAAGCGTGTTGTGGAAGAACCTGCGCTACAAGGGTATGGTCCTGCCCAGGTATTTCAGTTCTTTATTGCCTACCAAATCTGTAATAGTCCAGAGGCAGAACCAGCCTGGTGGCTGCTCACAGATCGTATCCTGCTGCTCTTTGGGTGCAGAATATTAATGGAAAAATCCTGCGAATAACAAAACCTTGGGAAGGCAGCTATTTACCAAAGGAGAATGAGTCACTGTGTTTACTCTGCAGCCTTCGATGTGAAAGACAAGAAGCCACAAAAGGTCACAGAGGAGTTGTCTCCTTGCCACTTATTCTGTCTGTTCCTCCGACAAAGGCAAAGCCATCTGCAGTACAAGCAATGAAGCAGTGATGACCAAAGATTTCAAAAGAACACATGAAGAGTGCCAAATGCTCTTGATAAAAAATCAAGTGAACAAGAGGAGTCACATAGCTCTTTGTGTAACCTTTACTCCACTGTTAAGTGCACCAGTTTATAGTAATTATGGAAAAGCCACTGATTGTATTATAAATATAATGACATTAACAGGACTGTCACTGTCTGTAGCAACAGTTGTGAAATTAATTTTTTTCTTCATTAAGGAGATCCTTATTTGCATGATTAAAATGTCAGCCCAGATAAATGCATGTGCTGGAGAATGAATCACTGAGCAAAAATGCCACCTGCCAAGCCCAGAGAATAGGACAGATAAACAAGCAGTGAGGAGCAGCTCAAAACTTGATCCAGCTCCCAGTGGGAGCCGTTCCATCATCCTCAGGAGCAGCAACACGCTGCAAGTGAGTGCCAAGATGAGGAGGCTCAGCCAAGCGACAGCCCGAATGCTTGGGATTTTTGCTTTGGCCACGCTCAACCATTTTGGAAGGGAAAACTACAGCCTTACAAAAAAAGAGTCCCTCCATTGCAGTTTAGAGGATACAAAAACATACTCCCATTAAGAAGGGCATATATGTGATCTAATCTTACTCTTTTGCTACTATTTGGTAAATGACAAGCCCAGCCATGACCCACATAACATTGCTGAAGCTCATCAACTATGCTTGCTACTACAAACCAACAAAATTTCCCGTTCACTCAAATACTTCCAAAACCAGATGAATCCACACCAAGAACCCATGTCCTCGTATGAAGTTTCAGCTCAGCATCACACCATCACCCCTATCTCAAGCCGCAGACCTCCCCTCCTGTGTGTCAGGTCGCTACACAGAGTGACTCAGTGGCAGGACAGGCAGGACAGGCAGCTGTGAGCTCAAGACAAGCTGCCAGTTTATCACAGCTGGACTGAAGAGTCACAAGCCTGCTGGAAAGCTGCAGTATTCCCCCCTCTGACCTCCTCATATTCTGGAGCAAGTCAACACATAAAATCTTTCTTCTGATCTTCATCAAAGCAGAATATTCTCCTCAGTACACCTAAATAATGTTTGTCTTAAGAGAGAATATGCTCCAAAGGTATTTTAGCAGAGAGATATTTTTTTTTTCCCATTACTCCAGTGAACCAAGTCTCCACATGTTAGAAAATGTTAAAAATGTTTCTAATGTAGCTACACTCAGTCTAGTACAAACCATGCCAGGTAAGTCATCTGAATCAGGTATTTCTTAAGATTTCAAAACTAAATTGGCTGGTTTTATAGAAGTTAGGAAAGAATTGGCAATTTCAGCTCCTGAATGCTAATTTGAACATACCAATTTGTCTATAAAAAGGTATGCTTCGGTCCACCACCATGAAGCACCACTGGTGGAGAGCAGTAAATAATACAGAAGGCTCTAACCAGGGGACACGGACCACAGTATACAGCTCAGATCATCCAGGAGGTATTTTAATGTAGCTGTGTCCAGAACACTAAAGGATTTGGTCACTGAACTGACCATGAAACCCCATTTTCAAAGGGAATTGTTTATAGCTCTTGCCCAGGTGCACATGATGCTCTTCCATTCCGTCCCATCTTCTGACCATGGGGCGGCTATGTCCTTCTGCACTGTGGGAGCCTGGCTACCACAAAGCCATATATAAACCTTCCAGAAAGGATGTTCTATAAGGAGAAAACGAAGAAGACACAGCAGAACTGCTGCAAATGGCATAGTGGCTCAGCAAGATCTTGCCAGGATGCAGCACCATCCTGCACCACACAAAGTCCGGGCCGCAGGAGGGGCATGCTGCAGGGACTGAGAAGATCAAACCACACGCAAGGATGATGCCTATGTGCAGGTTGTCATAAGGATGACAAACAGCTGAACTGGGAGGAGTCAAGAGTTTTGCCAGCCACAAAGCTCAGTCTTGCAGGCAACAAAATGATTCCGTTTCAGAACCAAGGTCCTCATTTCCAAGAGAATGGAGACACTCCTGTTGGCTTCATAAGGCTTTTATGAACCTTGGCTTGCAAAGAGAGGAGTGAACAGAAAACATGAAGTGATTGTATGTAAACCAAGATTAATAGCTTTATCAAAGGCAGGACTTCTGCTGTCACCCTTGCTTTTCATGAGAACTGGGTCAAAAAGGCCCAGCTTCCATAAACATTGGCTTGTTGCCCAGGAGCTGTATAAATCAAACATGGCCCAGTTCAGCACCTTTGTGGGTCATGGAAAGTCTTTCCTGCTATTTCAAGAGCTTTTAGATGGGACCTTGTACTTAGTCCATGTGTAGCAAAGGCAAAGCAAGGTAAGAAAGTGCTTAGAAATGTAGCAATTCTTTTCACCAGACCTTAGGGGTTTCAGATTGAATTGCACATAGGTGCAACTGATGGTGTACCCTGCAGCCCTGCTCTCCTGACATTCAGATCAGGGTCCAGGCTGCACTGCAGCAGAGCTCCCAGCCACTGCACCAAGGACCTGTCCCGTGGGACCCAGGGCATGGAGTCAGCATGGGGAGAGAAAGCAGATGGGACAAAAAGTGCATGACCAGTACATGTGGTGGCTGATGGAGTCACCACAATACCAAGGAGCCTCTTCGGCCTAAGTTGCATATAGAAAAAAATCACTGCCTCACACAAGGGCAAAGCAGAGAGGCTTTTGCTCTCGATCAGCTCCTTACATATAGGCAAGGTCTTGGCTGTGGAGCTGAAGAGCCTCTTTCACAAAGCCTCCAGGGATTTAGGGGAGCTGTTGCCTGACCAGGAACATTAACTCATATTGCCCCCATGAGGCAGTGGCTCTCACTGAGTTTTTGCTGGGGTTTTGACTGAAGCTCTGCAGCGGTGCTGTCAAGAGCTAGTCAAAAACACAAGAAACAGCCCATCTTGCCACATGGCCTGCAGTGCTGAGCAATAGGGCTTTGCCACCTTTGCTATCACCTTCTGCAATACCATAGCTTCACACTGAAATCCTTCTGGGGTCAGAAATCAGACTCTGCTTCTCCCTCTGTTTCAAGCCCTGCTGCTGCTTCTGAAGACAGCTGCAGCTGGGATCTAATAAAGAGATGCTTTTTTCCTCTGCAGGAAATAAAAACAGCTCCAGATGTGGACTTCAGCAGTGTTAGATTTGGTGCTACTCAACATCAGGGCCTCTGGAAGAGTCTACCCTTGACATACCAAAGTGATTTTCTCTCAGCAAAATGAGACTGCAAAACTCACCATGGAGTACAAGAGAAAAAGACCCCAGAGCCTGATGAGAACTTACTGACAACACAAGCTCCACAGAAGGCTTGCTCTCAGCCTTT